CCCTGTTTTTCTTCAGAGCATTCACCACCACCATATAATTTCTTTGCTTATCATCTTTCTCTCCTTGCTAGAATGTATGCTCCATGAGGGCAGGGATTTTATCTATTGCTGTATCCCCAGCATCTAGAACCATACCCAGAATAAGTACTTACCATATACATTTGTTGATTAAATGAATCCATGATCAACCACACTAGTTCTCTTTTAAGAAAGGAAGAGAGTGGTAGTATTTGGGAAAACACCACATTCCATTATAGGAGTTATTACACATAAATCTCTCTCCAATAGGAGTTATATTATGCCCTCTTTTACAATGAAAAACAGCCCATTGATGTGGAGCCAAGACTCAAGCTAACCCTCTCCAAAGGCAGTGTGCTCTTTCTACTGTTCTTGCTGCCCTGACCAGAGTGGCAGGAAAGAGAGCTGGCTCTGCTGTGTGCCCACTGTGTTCTGAGTAGCACATTGGTCACTCTGCATATTTGGTTCTACCTAATCCTAACCCCCAAATAGCCCCACATGGGTTTTTATTTCTTTTCCCATTTTGCAGAGAAGCAAACACTCAGAAAGGTTAGTTTGCCCAGAGTAATCCAGCCTACAAGTGGGGAGCTGGGCTCACCTCCAGGCCTGTTTAATCCAAAGATTCCTATCGTAACACCCTGAGAACTCATGTGGGGATTCTGCCAAGTGCAATATGTCTCCTCTACCTATGCATTCAGGATCTGGGTAAATACCATGGGGTGAGTTCTGGGCCCCAGTGATCTTACTGTGAAATAAATTATCCTGAGTTAAAAATCCATTTGCCACTTGATTCCATGAACTCCTACTCTGGTGAACAACAGCAATATCTTGAACCAACATCAGTTCAGAGCCAGAGTCCAGTATCCCCTCCCCTTGCCTGATCAGCCTCAGACTACCAGGAACAAGCCTATACTCCAACAAAGTTAGGGTCATGGAGCTATTACCACAAGGGTGACAAATGAGATCTGTGGGGTGTCTCACCAAAGGAAAATGGAGTTGTTACAGGACTTCAGGGAAGGGTGTTTAGGTGAAATCTGTCTGAAGCAGTGCTTGGACGGGCAGGAAGCAAAACTAGGCTGTGGGTAGTGGGTCAACATTGGTTCTGGACTGTGAAGTGGGCCCAGCCTCCTATTTCCCTGGAAACCACAAAATATAGATGTGGAATATGGGGTCCTAAACTCCTTATCTGGTTCCAGTTGTAAATCAAGTCTGCTTCTCTGTGTCAGTGACTTAGATCTGTCAGGAAAGAGTGGGTGTTTCATTCTTGATAATTTATCACACATCCCTGTTTTCTGTGACATTAGAGAACAAAGTTCTTCAGTAAGAAAACAGAGGTAAAATGTCATGACATTTTAAAGGTACATATCGTTTTTGGGAAAGTATTGTCTCCTATTAACTTTGAAGCTGGCTTTATCCTCATCTGCAATTCCAGCAGTTTAATAGATTGTTTTCTTCCTCGGTCCAAGCTAATTCTTACTTTCTCATCTCTCATAAGGGTGGGTATTTCCTGTCTTTCAACATGGTTACTCCATAATTGGCCACATTCCCTTTTGGGAAGGAAATAAGGTATAGTATAAAATTGGGGGAGAGCATTAGGGTCTTTCCTCAAGGGAATCTGGCCTTTTCTTCTTTCAAGAGGTTCAGGTGTCTCTTCACCAAATATATGGTTTTTTCACTTACACTGATAGAAACTTTAGTGGGCCGTCTATTTCTGTCTCAGAGACACCATCACCATTATCCAGGGCCAAAACATCTATGTTCTAACTGCTCTGATTACTGCTCTGGCCCTGGGCCTGTTAAGGTGACACACTTCCACTGAAAAGGTTATGAGCTCCTGTCTGGTATTCAACAATCCCCACTGAGTTATGGAACCCATTTTCATGACAGCCCTCCTACTGTCATTCCTAGCCTATAGAAATGAGCCACTGTATCACCTTCCCAGGACGTTGGTGCTCCCCCACCAATGCATTTCTCAAGCCTGGGTGATGCTCCTTGAGGGAAGTAGGCTCCAGCCACTACAGAATGAGTATCTCTTCCAGAAAGCTTCTTTTCATCAACTGGAGAAAGTGAAATGTCCTTCTCTTCTCAATTGTAATTAATTTACTTGGTTTAGAAGCTAGGGTCCCAAGGGATGACTGCTCTGTGGTAAGCAACAAGTGTAGCACAGAGCGGGTCTGCATCATCAGAAGACAGTCTGCCTCCCAGCCAATATTGATGTCATCATCACGCTAAGTAAAAAATTAGGTAAGAGAGAAATTTATGACGGAATGGAGCATATGAACGACTATGTAAATAAGATCTAATACAACTTGGGTGAAATACTTAACTGAAAACTAAGACAATTAAAAATTCATCACAGGAATTAGAAGGGATGTCTTAGCCATAGTTACTTAAACAGAGGATTAAAATAAAGGCTGGAATTCTTAATTAAGTAAACATCTGCACTGTATATAAAGATGGATTTAAAAAGAAAAAAAATATTTCTTCTGGATTTGGCATTCTAAGATCACATGCAATCTTGAGGAAGACACTGTCATGGCTTCTTAGTCTTTCTGTCTCTTGAAAGGATGGGAGACCCTTGGAGCAAAAACAGTTAATTTGTCTTCCTTCCTAAAGGGCCCTTCTCTAGAAGCAAAAGTTGTAACTGAATAAAAAGCTCCAAGGTCCTATCTCAGACTGAGAAACCAGGAGAGCCAGAAGGAGCTTCTGACACAACTTCCAGAGACTAAAGTTTCCAGCCACCTCAGGAAAAGACAGACATTCTCTTTCTTATGTGGAACATGCCTGTCGGGCAATGGTTAGTGAAGTCATAAGCCAGAGGCTCCTACCTTTGAACTGTTTCTCATTTTCCGTCATTGATCAAACACCTAAAGACCCATCTACCAAACCACATTTAAGTAAGATGTACCATTTGGAATCAGCAGATGGGCCAGCCTTGGGGCTGCAAGCTTCCTACCAGCACTGCCTTCATTCTTGGGGTGCTGGGGTGCAGCAGGTGCTAGCCTGCAGGACTCAGGAGGTATCAAGAGCCTGGGTGGTGGAGCCACACAGAGAGCACTACCACTGAGCAGACTGTGCCTCAGGTCTCACTGTGAAACAGGGTAAATAAAAGTACCTACGTCACTGAATTGATGTGAGGGCTAAATGAGAAAACCCATGCAAAGCATTAATCACAATGCCTGGCACATGCTAAGGTAAAAAAGTAAAGGTTTATTGACTGAATCACAATTTTCATTCAGCATACAACCATTATTATCACAGTAAATTCACTCCCATTTTCATTTTTTAAGTCAAAGCTATTTGCGGTGAAGTATGCTTAGGAGGATTATCATCAAGAGGCAGATTTTTCTAATCAGCTTTTCAACATTCTAAGAGAAGTAAAGACCACTGCCACTACCATATGGACAACAGCCTGTAAAATAAAATCTGAAGTACAGGTCAAGTCAATGTAAGAAAAAAGAATGGAGTCAAATTCTAAGAAAGCTCCTTTAATAAATGGGAAAACTGGAATAATTTTATTAGTGAAAATGACACTATAAAGGAATAAAATGGCCAATTGCTCTCACTTATTCTTTCTTACCCTGATTCTTATATACAAAGCACCATTCCATTATAGCTTATCCCAAATATTAACTGGTCAATCTCCTCTCAAGTGTTTGTTCATATGGCATTCAAATTGTTCATCAAAGACTCTAAGCTACTTTCAGTTGTCAGATTTCAGCTTCTACAACTGTTTCTCACAGACTGCTGTTGCTGAATTTCTATTTATTTATAGCCTGTTTCAGACCATTTTGATGTTAATCTTTCCTCCACAAAGTAGGAAAAAGTGCTAAAGAAGTTTCTGGAGAACAGGGTTCTGAGGATACTGAAGTGAACCACTCATAAGGGAACCTGGGCCAGAAGCACCACAGGCAAGGGTGGCAACTCTGGAAACTGGCTTTAGGAAAACAGAGCTCCTAGGATATTTGTCATCTCAAATATCAAGAACCAAAGGACACTGAGACCTTGCTGACCAACATCACTCTGGAGGACAAAAGGCAGCTTTAAAACATGCACACAAGAGTTCCCAGGCTGACAAACAACCTGCACAATTATCTACTTACCTACCTCACCTGGAATCCTGTCCTCTGGCAGCAGGAGGACCTGCCACTCCTCACCAGAGTCTGCTCAGTGCCAGGCTGCCCAGAACACAGTTATGACCACTCACCTTCTCCCCCTGAGAAACTGATACAGAATACACCAACCTTGGTTTTGAGAACAAAACCTGTTAAGTCATATCCCATATACCACTGTGTGTCTACTTTATGGCTGCTTTCCTCCCAATTCACAGGATTTTGTCTTTCCCAATTACCTTGTAGAAAAACCCATTTTACTTGTGTCATTCGACTTCTTAGCAGGATCTTACAAGTTTCAATCTACACATAAGCCTCATGTCGTTCCTTAACAAACTTTGCTCAAGCTCATAAGGTTTCTCTCCTGTCTGAATTACCTGATGCTGAAAAGGGATAACATTTTTGAAGTTAAAGGGATATTCCTCACAATAGAACGAAAACATTTTGAAGAGGCCCTAACAAAGAAATCCCAACCTGGCTCTATCATGATTGAAAGTGCAAGGATTCCAGTGAACTTTTCTTGAACCTGAAATAGATGAGTACAAGGAAAGAAAAGCAAGTGACCACATAAAATACCTCACTGCACCTTAAGATCTGGTGCTATGAAAACATGATTTTAAATAAGTATATTTAAGCCATGCTTGTTTAAAGTACTGAAGCACAGGGCCACCCTCTGAATCTGAGGGAAGGCATGTGACCTTGGAATTTTTAGCACATAATTTTGCAGCCTACCTTTAGTTAACAGCACACTGAGAGATCTTAAATCACTGGAGAGATGAATCTCCAAAATGAAAGCTGTAAAAGTGACAGCTTTCCCATCAGTATATTGCTTCTGATGTAAAACAGGGAAGACTATCGAATAAAGTGGAGTTATTCTCCATTGTGGACTTTACGATGCTGAATGAAAGCTGCCTGTGCACTAAAGAGGGCCCCACAATTAATACACTTATAGGCTTGCTCTCCAGTGTGAATTTTCTCATGACCAGTAAGAGTTATTTTCTGACTAAAAGTTTTCCCACATTCATTACACGTATAAGGTCGTTTTCCACTGTGAACTCTCTGATGACGAATGAGGTGAGAGCTTTGTCGGAAGGATTTTCCACATTCAGTGCATTTGTAGGGTTTCTCTCCTGTGTGAATTCTCTTGTGTTGGATAAGGGACAAGCGTGCACTGAAGGCTTTCTCACATTCATTGCACATATAGGGCTTCTCTCCAGTGTGAATCCTCTGATGCTGAATAAATTGTGAATGCTGACTGAAGGCCTTGCCACACTTCTCACATTCATAAGGCTTCTCTCCTGTATGAATTCTGTGATGCTGGATGAGAGAGGAGCGGACGTTGAAGGCCTTCCCGCAGTCACGGCACTCATAGGGATTCTCTCCAGTGTGAATCCTTCGATGGCGGACAAGGTGTGCACTCTGGCTGAAGGCTTTTCCACAGTCTCCACACTCATAGGGCTTCTCTCCATTGTGTGTTCTCTCATGTTTAATTAGGGTGGATATCTGCCCAAAGGTTTTCCCACACTCGTTACACTCATAGGGTTTCTCTCCAGTGTGGCTCCTCTCATGCTGAATGAGGTGTGAGCCCTGGCTAAAAGCCTTCCCACATTTGTGACACTCATAGGGCTTTTCACCATTATGGACTCTCTGATGTTGAACAAGGGAAGAGAGCACACTGAAGGCTTTATCACACTCATTACATTCATAGGGCTTCTCACCATTGTGTGTCCTTTGATGATGAATGAGATTAAAACTCTGGCTGAAGGCTTTTCCACACTCATTACACTCATAGGGTTTTTCTCCAGTGTGAATTCGCTGATGCTGAATCAGATGTCCCTTTTGACTGAATGTCTTCCCACACTCATTGCATCCATAAGGTTTTTCTCCAGTGTGAATTCTCTGATGCTGGACAAGGGACAGGCGAGCGCTGAATGATTTTCCACACTCATTGCATACATAAGGCTTCTCACCAGTGTGAATTCTCTTGTGCTGAATGACTTGGGAACGTTGACTGAAGGATTTCCCACATTCATTACACCTATAGGGTTTCTCTCCAGTATGAATTCTCTGATGAACGATAAGGGTTCGGTTCAGGCTAAAGGATTTCCCGCATTCATTGCATTCATAGGGTTTTTCTCCTGTGTGAATTCTCTGATGTTGAATGAGAGATAATCGTGCACTGAAGGCTTTGCCACACTCAGTACAGTCATAAGGTTTCTCTCCAGAATGAGTTCTCTCATGCTGAAGGAGGTGTGACTGTCTACTAAAAGCCTTCCCACATTCCTTACACGTGTAAGGTTTCTCTCCGCTATGAGTTCTCTGATGATGAATCAGGTTAGAGCTATGACTGAAGGCTTTCCCACACTGATTACACTCATGAGGTTTCTGCCCAGTATGAATCTTAAGATGTTGACTATAAGATGAACACGTACTGAAAGCTTTTCCACATTCACTGCACTCATAAAGTCTTTCTCCAGTGTGAATGTTATGGTTCTGAATGAAGTAGGCATGAGCCCTGGAAGCTTTGTCGCACTCAGCATAGGTGTGGGGCTTCTCTCCACAGTGAACTCTCTGATGTTGGTTGAAGACAGAGCAGTGGCAGGAAGTTTTTCCACATCCACCACACTCAAAGGGCTTCTCTCTGGTGTGATTACTCCCATGTTGAGAAAGAGCTCTACTTGGGCTGAAAGGTTTTCCACACTCAGTACACTCAAAGGATTTCTTTGGCCTGTTAACCCTCTGACTCTCACCAGGAACTGAACTCTGCCTGGCCACTTTCACAAACACATCTGTCTGACATGATCTTTCTCCTAGATGGAAACATGGGAGATTAATGAGGTCCTGAGTTTGTTGAAAGTCATCTACATGTGGCACATTCTGGTGGAGACTCTCCCCTCTAGACCCTCGATGAAATCCAACAGGGTTTGGGTCTGCAGTGCAGTTTACCTCCGTGGAACCGGATATCTGGCCTTCCCCCCTAGGGGTTTTCACACGTGTCAATGTCACCGGTCTGGAATTGTTCTTCTGGGAGAAGGATTTCTTAAGTCTTTCCACTGTAGATTGTTCCCAGTAATTCTTTATCTTTCCCTCAGTTTTACACATTTCTTCAAAATCAGATTTCTTGGATATATTTCTTGCATGTTCTTCTGGTTTTGCTCTCTGGGACTCCACTGCTTTGGAAATTTCCTGTTTTGGAGTTAATTCCTTTTTTTCCATTAGAGACTCAAAATCTGAAAGAATGAAGAAAAATGAGTTATGTGTATTCTACTATGGGAAAAAGAATTAGAGCATAAATAGGAACATTTATATGAAACAAGTATCTCCTAGGAGGATACTGGATTTTCAGAATGCAAAAGCAAAAAATGACCTCACTGGGATGAGGAAAGAGGGGACAGAAGCATTCTATCAAAGCAACAAAAGCTGGTGTGGGGAGGAAGTAAGGAGAAGCCCAAGGTCAAAGTGTTACATCTGCAGATGGGCCAACTAGGCACAGATGGAGCAGAAACAGTGAGGCATGACTTGAGGGCGCTCAGAAAGGTGATGAGGGTAACAGGAGAGGAGGCTCGGAAGGTCACCACCTCTGCTGATCATGTCATTGCTGCATACTTTGCAAACAAGGTATCTTCTTATAGCCGCTTATAGCTTTCTATAATAGATATTCAAATATTTGTTTAAAAATAAATGAATGATAAATGGCTTGTAATGAATAAAGGGTATACAGAGTAATAGATAATGGAAAAATGATTTGATATGGACAAATTGGCTTTATAGAAGCAAATTAGGGTAAATAGAGAAAAACAGATACAAAGAAAAGATGCAAAAACAGATACTCATCCAAACAGCAGGCACAGTACAAGGCAGAAAAGCTAAATGTGTGCAACAGTCCATACCACACATTCCCAATGTACAAAAGTACCTGAGTATTGGTAAAAATTGTGATACAACCGAATTCTGAAATTCAATGAAAGGAAATTTACTAAAGACAAAACAAAAATTTCACACTAAACCACTGAATCATGTGGACACAATGACTGTTGGAAGGATAACCCAGGTCAGAACACTGAGAGGGGAGCCCTGTTGTGGGATTCCATGAAAGCATAATTGAACCTCTTTTGTAACCTAGTTCTTATAGAGCTGTAACAGGCTGTTACTTGCAGACTGTTTGGCCAGACAAGGAAACAGAGCTGAAAACGTTGATTAGATGGTGTCTAGCATTGGGCTAAGTCCTTTTAACAGACTTCAGTGAACTACTCACAGTACTTCAAAGGGATTTACTTAAGTATGGAAGCTAAAAACAAACAAAAATTTATTCTAGAAACTTATGAGCAGTCTGAAGGGGCAGACTCTGGATGTAAACACCCAGAATTCCTGTGGCTTCTATCAGGAGTATCTGAAGTGTCAAGAGTCCTCAACATCTTAGGAGTGGAGTCTAAAAAGATCCCAGTCAAGAGGTATTATTTCACTGGGTAGGAAACAATGAAGAATGTGAACAAAATGAGAAACCACAGAAGAGGGGTGCCTGGGTGGCTCAGTTGGTTAAGTGTTCAACTCTTGATTTTGGCTCAGGTCACGATCTCATGGTTTGTGGGATTCAGCCCCACTTTGGGCTCTGTGCTCACAGTGTGGAGCCTGCTTGGGATTTTCTCTCTCTCTGCCCCTCCCTGACTTGTGTGCACTCTCTCCCTTTCAAAAACAAACAAACAAACAAACAAACAAACAAACAAACCACAGAATAGAATGATCTGTGGGTCAAGAACCAACATCTCATGCTGATTCAGGCTGCCATTTTCCCTCAGGAATCTAGTGATCCTTGGTTGCCTATTTGTATTTTAACATGAGACAATAAAAAGATGCTTGGGAACTCTGTGTATGAATGGTACTTGTCAAGTGGAGGCACATTTGAGTAAGGTGGTAGTTATAAGGCCAGGGCATCCCCAAATGTCAAAATTTAGAAGTCTTTCTTCTATGGTTGGTTTTTTGAGGCAATCCCCTAATTTTTGCCTTAGATAGACGATGCCTTACTGTTGGGTATTCTTTGTACAAAGTTAGAGGAAGGATGTGTCACTATTAGCTGTTTCTGTATTTACACCTTTTAGTTGATATCTCAGGATTCAGGTCTTTTTAAAAAAAAAAAAAACTAAACTAAAAACAACTCTTTATAAGTGGTAGACTGTTTTTCCATCAGGAGGTGCAAAATGTCTGGTTGCTTCTCTTTTTTGCAATGTTAGCAGCCATTAGTGATCATTATTTATATTCATTTTTATTTAAAAAATTTTTTTTAACGTTTATTTGTTTTTGAGACAGAGAGAGAGCATGAATGGGGGAGGGTCAGAGAGAGAGAGGGGGAGACACAGAATCTGAAACAGGTTCCGGGCTCTGAGCTGTCAGCACAGAGCCCGACGCGGGGCTCGAACTCACAGACCGCGAGATCATGACCTGAGCCGAAGTCGGCTGCCTAACCGACTGAGCCACCCAGGCGTCCCCATATTCATTTTTAAATTTGGAATTTTGAAATAGTGATTTCTAATTCTGTCATTCTTTTATTTTTCTTTTATTTTTTTTAAAGCTGGAAGCTCTATGAAGACAAATTTCTACTCACCAATTGTTCAGTTATCCTGAGGTATAATACATCTTATAAAGGCAGAATAAACACTTGATATTTTTATTCACCAGTTTTCAGAATAATGAATCAACTCCCTAGCATTCCTCAAAGGTGACCAATGAGTAGGAAATTACTCTAACAAAGTCTAACTCTAACAGCTCTAACAAAGCCTAAGACCAACCCCTTGACAAGACATGGTGATTCAATGTCATGTTATCTTTCTGCCAAAAGGAGACTTAATCCTCTTTCAAGAGTATGACATCAAATGGAGACTCTATAATGTTTTATCTATAATATTGACTCTCAATTAAATATCAGAAAGTATGTTAAGAAAAAGAATAATGACAAGAAACCAAGAGAAAAATATACACAATAGAAACAAACCCACAGGTGATTCAGATACTGTCATGAACCAATATCAAAAGCAAAACTGATTAGTATATATAAGAACATAAAGAGATACAGAATGTGACCAGAAATCAAACGGAAACTGAAATTAAGAGTTCAATAGAGAGTTTGTTAGCAGACAGGACATAATAGAACAGAGGATTACTTAACTGGAAGGTACACAAGTAAAAGTATTCTTAAGTTTCAGATTGAAACACAGAGGGGGAAAAAAGGACAGGGAATATAGAAAAGAGCATAAGAAACAGGTGTGATATGGTAGAACAGTGTAATATATGTATAGTTACAATCCCAGAAACAGAGGAGAAAAGGAACAGGACAAAAGAAATACTGGCTTCCTCACACCTATCAGAATGGCTAAAATCAACAACCCAAGAAATAATAGATGCTGGCAAGGATATGGAGAAAAAGGAACGTTTGTGCACTGCTGGTGGGAATGTAAGCTGTTGCAGCTGCCCTGGAAAACAGTATGAAGGTTTCTCAGAAAGTTAAAAATAGAACTACCATATGACCTAGCAATTGCACTACTGGGAATTTTCCCAAAGAATACAAAAACACTAATTCAAAGGGATTCATGCACCCCTATGTTTACAGGAGCATTATTTACAATAGCCAAGATACGAAAGCAGCCCGAGTGTCCATCCATTGATGAATGGATACACATGGTGTATATATGGGCAATGGAATATTATTCAGCCATAGAAAAGAATGAAATCTTGCCATTTGTAACGACATGGATAGAGCTAGAGAGTATTATTCTAGGTGAAATAAGTTAGAGAAAAAAATACCATATGATTTCACTCATATGTGCAATTTATTTTATTTTATTTTATTTTTAATTTTAACATTTATTTTTGAAGGAAAGATACACAGAGCATGAGCGGGGGAGGGGCAGAGAGAGAGGGAGACAGAATCCGAAGCAGGCTCCAGGCTCTGAGCCATCAGCACAGAGCCCGATGTGGGGCTCAAACCCACGAACTGTGAGATCATGACCTGAGCTGAAGTCGGATGCTTAGCCAACTGAGCCACCCAGGTGCCCCTCATATGTGCAATTTAAGAAACAAAACAAATGAGCAAAGAAAAACAAACGAGAGAGAGGCAAATTAAGAAACAGACTCTTAATTATAGAGAACAAACTGATGGTTTCCAGTGGGGAGGTGGGTATGGGGATGGGCTAAATAGGTGATGGGGATGAAGGAGTGCACTTGTTCTGATGAACAGTGGGTGATGTATGGAATTGTTGAATCATTCTATTGTACACCTGAACCTCATATCACACTGTATGCTAGCCAACTGGAATTAAAATAAAAACTTAAAAAAAAATAAATATTAGCTTACAACTTTCCACACTGACAAAAATCTACAAATCATTGCAAAAAGCTTGAAGAATCATAAGCAATATAAATGCAAAAAGGCCCCACACCTGGGTATAACATAATCAAAGTGCTAAAAACTAAAGGAAGAAAATATTTAGAGCAGCAAGAAGAAAAAGACTTATCAACTTAAAAGCAAAATAAGACTGCAGGCTGACTGTTCAACTGTAGAAGTGGAAGGCAGTAGACAAAAGGGTGTTGTTAATGGGCTGAAGAAAATAAATGGCAACACAGATTTCAGCATCTAGCAAAAACAGTCTTCAAAACTGAAAGCTAGGAAATTGCATTTCCAGGATGACAGTGTAAAGAACTCACTGGATCCATGTTACAGCAAAACAAAGATGGTAAGAATTATAAAAACAGATGAACACAGGGGAAGGGATAGAAAAATAAGATAATAACAGAGAAGGAGGCAAACCATAAAAATCTCTTAAATATAGAGAACAAACAGGGTTGCTGTAGGGGAGGTGGGTAGGGGGACGGATTAAATGGGTGAAGGGCATCAGGGAGGGCACTTTTTGGGATGTGCACTGGGTGTCATATGTAAGAGATGAATCACTGGGTTCTATTCCTGAAGCCAAGACCACACTGTATGTTAACCACCCTGGATTTAAATTAAAAACAAAAACAAAAAAACAAAAAACAAAAATGACAACAACAAAAAACCAAACTAACAATGATTTAGTCTCCAGAAATTATCCTAAGGGCAAACTGCAAATCAAGAAGCAGTTTTCTTATCCAAGAAAATCTACTAAAATTTGGTATGAACACTGAGAATGTAGGGCATTTGAGCCATGACCCACTCCATCTCTACCCACAGCTCAGCCTGACAGATGCTGTACTTGGGTTC